GATCTTGGTGTCCCTCAGTCATCCTCTACTGCTCTTCATTGTGATAGCCAGAGCGCTGTCAAGATGTCTCATAATGATACGTTTCATGAGCGTACCAAACATATTGAGATTCATTGTCATTTTATTCGCCAGCATGTTACCCATGGGACTGTACGACTTGTTTCTGTCTCCTCTTCAGATCAGATAGCGGATGTCTTCACGAAGTCTCTCCTTCCCGGTCGCTTTTGTTTACTTCTTAGCAAACTCAAGTTGATATCTACTATACCACCTTGAGTTTGAGGGGGGGTGTTAGAATATATTTTGTATATATGGTTATAATATATTTTGTATATATATTGTAGGATTAGATTTAGGCTCATTATGTTCCTATATATATGTATACATGTCTTTTGAATAATATAGAATATATTTTTCCCAAATTCTAACAGACTTATTTATCTATTAAATGGACCCACTTTCTATGATATTTTTATGTCTTATTTTTAGTATATTGGAGTATTTTCGTGGGCTGCGTGACAATAAACAATATTTCAGTCAGCAGAGTATGGGGGTGCCCCATATTCTGCTACCAACAGAGTTGGTACCCATACTCGACCCAATATGGGTCACATATTTAAGCCCATGGAAAGAAACACCAATATGGCCCATGAGATGATTTGTTATTTGCTGGAATTTAAGTGTGAGCCCAATTGCATGGGAGTGTTGCATGGGAGTGTTGCTGTGAGCCCTATTTATTTAATTGCGGAGACACATAGCGAAGGAGAATTGGATTTGTGATTGTAATTTAATTTTAATGAAAACAGACCTGATGAGTTGGATTAATCTTGACAACTCAAATACCAGTGAAGTACCAACGGCAAGATTGGTTGTACTTTCCTGGAAACAATATGTTAAACATTGGATCGAATACAGTCACATTGAGCAAGAATTAAAACCGATAAGGAAAAACCGAAGCCTATTGTATATAATCGCGAAACTTACGTTTAAAGGCTGTAAATATATTCAAATCCAACTCGTTTTCATGAATAGTTCCAGCTAATTATCAGTGGAGTTTGGCTGATAAATTCTAATAATGACTCTGCAGATGATCACAGGTGTTTGTTTGTTTAGTAGGATCTGCATTAATTTTTGATGAAACAATAATAAGGCAAGATTTGTATGCACTACATTTAATAGGATTTGGACAAGTTATCCTGCATTGCGTTGTGTTTGTTTTCCTTGATACGGACAAGCGATTACGAAGCTGATTCGGGATAACAATAGTGATAAACGTGGGATTAAGCAAAAGATACATTAATATCAAAGCCATACAAGTGTTCACACTACAGAAAAATGTGATACAGTCTCAATATCAGAAAAAAAAAAAAACTTCCCACAAGAAGCTAATTAATGCAGCTTTTGGTCCCATGAGTGTGAAAATATATACCTTCTCAGGGGACTAAAAAAAAAAAAAAAAAAAGCAAAAAACAAAAGAGTAACTTTCTTGTGGGACACAAAACTGCCAAAATATTTCTAACACGATCAATGGCCATCGACTAGAAGTATTGGCTTTGCAAGTTGAGCAGCGAAACTCTCGATTTAATCAAACGCTTGAACAGCCATTCTAATCTTTCCTCGACCTCTCGAATAATCGAGTCCATCGCTCTCAACTTCCCCTGTAATTCCTCGACTCGAATAATTCCTTTACGCAATGCAACATCCAAATCTCCAAAATCAAAAGTCGAGCTTTTTCCGTGCTCTTGGCACAGAACTTTCCTTGAAGACCCCATTACAAGTCTCGAAACTAAGGACCATCGATTGCCCTTTGTACGAGAAATACTTGACAAAAGATTCTCCAACAAAGCAAAAGTTATACGAAAAGTCTCTTCGAGCATGCTAATGATAGCATTAATGGCTTCTTGATCCTTATCCTCCTCTGCTGAAACAGAGGACTTTTTAATCTTGAAGCTGCCCATATTTATATTTCTCAACGACTTTTGTATTTGCTTCTTGAATGACTTTATCGAGTGTGTGAACTCCGAAGAATCATCTTTACGCCTAAGGATAGAAAGAAGGTTTGCGATATATTCTTTTGATTGGTAGATGAAATCTCTGGCTATGGCACATGTGTCCACAAGGCTAAGATATCCATCCAAGATTTGTTCGACCCATTTTTCGTGCCTTTCTCGGGTGAAAATTTGTTGTGTACGTGGCAAAAGGAGGAAATTATCGACACAATCGTATAAACTTTCGAGATTGTGTAGTTTTTTGGCGATTGACGATACAGATAAAGAAGAAGAAGAAGAAGAAGAAGTGGTGGGTTCGTTTTCGGAATTTAGTGTATGCAAATGTAAGTTGAATTCGGGGCTTATTAAAGAGTAAGATCTTGAAGGCATGCTAGACGAACGTGTTTGGCTTAGAATTATCGACCTCATTT